AAAAGGGACATTACTAAGTAATTTACACTGAAAGGGACATTACTAAGTAATTTACACTAAAAGGGACCTGAACATTGCTCAGTAATTTACACGAAAAGGGATCTAAACAGCACTAATATCATTTTTTATCTATAAATAGTCCACTATACCTACCTCTTTTGGGAAAAATGGAGCAATGAGAGAAATACTTAAACAGTTGGTAAATCCCACAATGCAGAAACTGAAACAATGAACTTTTGTTTTCTTGATAAAGTTCTAAGAAAAAATGTGTTTTCAGTATCAGTTACTGCTTCTGAAGGCTGGGTTGTGTCACCACATTTTCCCACAGGTATACCTGTAGGAGTAACCACTTCTAACGACATTTGGTTTGATTCAGGGTAATATTCAGAACCTGTATCTGTTAAGAACTTTGGACGAGGTTCATGCCCTGGATCTTGAAAGTTCCTTGAATCGTGTCCAAGAATAGTATTTGCCGGATTATGAGATGGGGATTCCATCTCTAAACTGACACCCATTGACTTTCCTGAAAAACAATGACTATGAACTGAATCTGTTTCTTTTGTGTTCAGTTCAGTAGGGACATACACAGAACAAGTAGGTAATACGTTCCTGGAATAAGAATCGCAAACTGAACTGTTATCTGTTGAATCTATGTGACCTGATTCTGTGTTTGTTTCAGAGAGAGGATCCAGGTTTGATACAATCTCTGTTGAGGTCTTGGATTGAAGCTTATGACCTGATCCAGTGTTTGTTTCAGAGAGAGGATCCAGGTTTGATACAATCTCTGTTGAGGTCTTGGATTGAAGCCTATGACCTGATCCAGTGTTTATTCAAGAGAGAGGATCCAGGTTTGATACAATATCTGTTGAGTCCTTTGATTGAAGCTTATGACTTGATCCAGTGTTTGTTCCAGAGAGAGGATACAGGTTTGATACAATCTCTGTTGAGTTCTTTGATTGAAGCTTATGACCTGATCCAGTGTTTGTTCCAGAGAGAGGATACAGGTTTGATACAATCTCTGTTGAGTCCTTTGATTGAAGCTGATGACCTGATCCAGTGTTTGTTCCAGAGAGAGGATACAGGTTTGATACAATCTCTGTTGAGTCCTTTGATTGAAGCTGATGACCTGATCCAGTGTTTGTTCCAGAGAGAGGATACAGGTTTGATACAATCTCTGTTGAGTCCTTTGATTGAAGCTTATGACCTGATCCAGTGTTTGTTCCAGAGAGAGGATACAGGTTTGATACAATCTCTGTTGAGTCCTTTGATTGAAGCTGATGACCTGATCCAGTGTTTGTTCCAGAGAGAGGATACAGGTTTGATACAATCTCTGTTGAGGTCTTGGATTGAAGCCTGAATCCTGGCAACGTAAGTACTATCAGACCAGTATCTGTTGAGGTTTGGCAATAACACTTAAACACTGTATCTGTATCTAAGTGATTTTCTTGTGAACACCTTGGCTAGTTTACCTTTGCTCTATTAATACTTTCACATAATTCACATAAGTTAAAGGAGTTCACAAAAGCCACATTTTCCCACATGTCCAGAAATGTCCCTTTGTAAGGAACTATGCGATTGCTTCAAAACCTCGCAGACACGTTGTGATGAGATTTCAAAGAAGTTTTCAATAGCTACTACAGACAGATGAAGGACCTATAGATGTTTGGAGGTAAGGATCCCGGAGGCTGGCTTTCTGAATTTTTTTCACCAGATTGGCTTTGTGACAAGACAGCATTTGGAATTAGTTGGGAGGAGAAAGCCAGAATGTCTGTCTCCATAGATTGTTGTCATGGAGACGAGGATGGTCGATTCTCTTCTCTTTTACCACCAACCTGGCAATATTAGACAAAACTAAGAAATAAAACTTCCTTTTCTTTCTGAAATCTACAAATTATTTTAGAAGCACAATTCCAAACGCACATCAGCATTTGTTTCTATATGAACACCAGCAGATGTATTGATTTTTATTGAAATTGTTAGAATGTAAATAGTAATTAAAAAAAATTTGTAATAAATAAATTGTTGTGTAAATCATTTAACATAATATGTTAACAAATTAAACAAAAAATATCTGGAGGATGTTGTACACCTGAAACATAAACACAACAGAGCAGTTTTATGTTTTAGTGTTAAACGAGTAACTCGCGTTGATAAAGATTACCTTTTAATTCTGTAAAACTCCAACCCAGCTCCTGCCCAATCTCTGTCCTCCTAGCCGTTGTCAAACACGCCAGAAGTTTCTGATGTACCTGGAAATTTAATTGCTTATATATTATTATTAGGATTCATAAAAGTAAAAACCTTGTATATGGTATACATATTGCATCAGCAGTCATGTGTCTGAATACTGTATCATTTGTCGATACCGTCATACAATCTGACAAATATGTCTGCTCGTGTCCGGGACAATGTTAAAAGTAACTGAATTTAAAATTGAATTCTAACAGTGGTAATTTAAATCAGGATTGTGACAAATCATTAGAATACCTTAATAAAAATCTTGGTATCAGAAAATTCGCGATCTCTGCAGAAGTACGGCCGCCGTTATGGCGTTAACATAAATTACCAAAATTTGTTCTCGAGGGAGAGAGTTTAATGTTCCAGTTCTTTCCGTAAGAATTTAGTCTACTTTTAGAATGGTTGACATATTCTGCACTGATGACATTTTCTGGATATTTCTTCCAGTGCGTCAACTCTCTTTGTGAAAAAACCTTCTGTTGGATAAGCAGGTATCTGCCTGTACGTCATTGAGAGTAGAACCAATTCTCTCAACCTGTCCGAGTAACTCTTCACGAGTTGTGTTATGTACGTCGTATTCACACACGGATTCCACACTCTATCTTGGTTGGTACTGATCGTGTTGTAAAGACGTATTGTAGATGAGGTCTAAAAACAGATTTGTACAAATTTAACAACATATGCTTGTTTTATTAGTTTGTTGATACGGTAGGTCGTTTGGACTGCATTGTTGATATGTGATCCGGTTTATAAGTTTCACACCCGCCCGCACACCCCCCCCCCCCATCTTCATCTTCCTGCTTCCATAACCCACCCCCCCCCCCATCTTCATCTTCCTGCTTCCATAAATAGTTGTTATTCTTACAGTTCAAAGTCAAAGTACTGCATATCATAATTTTGCCCATTTTTCGAACAAAGTTTCCGTAATAGATCTATTGTCATAATTAATAATGTTTAATAGGTATTTGTACATGGAAGTCTTGAATTGAGTAATTACAATTTGATTGTCTTATGTTACAACAACCAATGTTATTTTGTTTTTCCTTCACGTTGTGTCATATTACAGAATCATCAACACTGTCTTGCATAAATACGGCTTCAGTTTCTTAATATGTCAGCTTTGATTCTGCTGTATACCGCTTAACCTTTCCATATTCATGCGAGTTCGGACATGTTTATGCAAACTTCTTAAAAACAAAAGTATATGGGAAAATACGAAAGCTAGCACATCTCATGTTTTCATACAAACTAAGCAGACTTAGGGAGTGGATATTGACGACTGCCGTCGATGAAGCAGAAGACGCTTACTCTTCCTGAACACTTGATCTTATTCTTCTTGTATATTTTCAGGAGTTTCCGTGTAAATCTTTCTTTTGTTCATATTTCGCCCTAATTTCATGGAATTTGAGTTTGAATTGTGATGATGTTGCCATGCTGGTGATTCCTTGTTTATCAATGTTAACAGTTATGTAGATCAGACTATAATGAGAGAACATTAATTATTTCATCTCAAATCTCTGGAATAGAATAGTTAAATATTCATTCTTCCAAAGACATATTCATGTATTTCATTATAATAGTACATTTATTTTACCGTGAATACAACAAGTAGCAAACACCGAACATTATGTTCATGTTGATGGCGATTGTTTAACCTCTCGGACATCATATGATACGTATACTTTGCACGATTATTGACCCACGTGTGGAAGTTGATGATGTACAGTATGTGTGCGTGTGTTTCTGTGTAATTTGTACACTTCCCCTTAAGTTTTTTTGTTTTTCTATTGTGAATTTCGTTCTGTATTTCCTGTACGGAATGGAACAGTAGTAGACGGAGAGTACAAGATAAAAGATTTATTTTTTCACATGTGAAGTTGATGATGTTGTACAGTATGTGTGTGTGTCTGTAATTTATACACTTCCCCTGAAGATAAAATCCTGTTGTGTTTTTCTTTACTTTCGTTCTGTATGTCCTACACGGAATGGAAGAGTAGTAGGCACGGGGATTAAGAGATATCAGATCTAATTTTGACAATTTCATATGTACAAATAATGATAATAATAATGATAACAATAATAATGTTATTGATTCTGTAGAGTTAATTTACAAGTAAACGTGTATAGAAGTTATAAACAAATCGCAAACGAAATATGAAGCATGTTAAAATTTCAGAAGCAAATTAAAACAGCTATACGGTATGTATTTACTGACAAGCACAAAAGTAGTTTAAATATATCACAGAATGCATGATAAAAGCAAACCGTAGAAAAAACACCTTTTATTTGGTATATCTGATTAAAATGTGAGCAAAGAGTTCATTATGCTCCCCCCATTTACGGCCGGGGGCATATAGCGTTGCCCATGTCCGTCCGTCCCGTCCCGTCGCGTCGCGTCCCGTCCCGTCCCGTCCCGTTCCGTCGCGTCCCGTCTCGTCGCGTCGCGTCCCAAATCAGTATATACCACCTAACAACTTCATTCGGAAGGCAATTTTCATGAAACTTCATACAAATATCAAGTATGGAAAGACCTCATGCAGTGTTGAATTCTTCGGCATAGTGGGGTACATATGTCAATATAAAGAAAATTTACACTTATTGTATTATAAATATTGTTTGATATATTTAAGCAAGAGTGTAGAGAAAAAGTAAATTAATTTTCCAACTGTTCGTTGTAAAATATATAAGTGAAGACATGTTTTCAAAATTATCTTACAAAATATGCAGGAAATTTAAATTTAAAGGAAATCGCAAAAATAAAAATGTCGTCTCACAAACTGAATATTGAAACTGGGAGGTATAATAATATAGAAAGGAATAATAGAATAAGCACTTCATGTTACAGTGATGCCAGAGAAGATGTTTTTCATTTTATTATTTTATTCTCCTGGACATAATTTAGCTTATCAGATGTTTGCGTCTAACAACAAACGCTATCTCTTAGTGTTTATGATGCTATGCATGCTTATTTAACCAAATATGTCCCATTTGATGTACATGGTCTTCATAAACACTGCTATTGAATATGAATCGAGTGGCAGAATTGACGTCACAAATGATTGACCAATAGATAAAGCAGGATAAAGCAGATGTTTTGGCTACATTTTTCAGTAGTGTATTCACAGAGGAACCACCAGGCGACACACCAAAAATGCATAATAAAATAATAAAATACCCATTTCGAGATATCATATGCACTGAAGAAAGTGTCGGAAAACTCCTCTCAGACTTGGATGGCAGTAAGTCTCAAGGACCTGACCAAATGCACCCAAAGGTTATGAAGGAACTAAAATCGATCATAAACAAACCGCTAAGTATTATTTTCAACAAATCACTGGAGGATAGTCAAGTTCCATCTGCATGGAAAGAGGCCAACATCACAGCAATATTCAAGAAAGGATCAAAATCGGACCCAGGGAATTATCGTCCCGTAAGCCTCACCAGCATAGTCGGAAAAACCATGGAAAAAATTGTGCGAAATTCCATCGTTAATCATATGGAAAACAATGATCTTTTTAGCAACAAGCAATTTGGATTTATCGCGAAACGGTCCACAGTTCTCCAGCTCCTTATGGTGCTTGAGGATTGGACGGATATACTAGATCACGGTGGGGAAATTGATGTTATATATATGGACTTTATGAAGGCCTTTGACAAGGTACCAGGTTAATTGAAAAATTAAGAAGCTACGGAATAGCAGACCAAGTCGTCAACTGGATAGAAAACTTTCTACACGAAAGGAAGCAGAGAGTACTAGTTAATGGAAAAGCATCCAAAGACCACCCGGTATTAAGTGGGATCCCCCAGGGCCCAATTCTATTTGTAATCTATATAAATGATCTGCCAGATTATACTTCCTCGAACACCTACCTATTTGCTGATGACACTAAGATTTATAGAGAAATAAAAAGTGATGAGGACAGGAAGGCAATGCAACAAGACTTGGATAAACTGCAAGAATGGTCTAACAAATGGCTTCTAAAATTCCATCCACTAAAATGCAAAGTATTAACAATAAAACAAAAAAGGAAAGAAACATGGACATACCATATGGCAGGAGCAGAGGACAACGTGGCGTTGGAAAACATAACTTCAGAAAAAGATATTGGCGTAACGGTGGATAAAGATCTAAATTTCTCTATGCATATGCAACAAGCTGTAAACAAAGCCAACAGTATTGTTGGTTTTATTAGAAGGTCCTTTGTATACTTAGATGAAGTGTTTTTTACACAACTGTTCAAGGCATTAGTCCGCCCACACTTAGAATATGCCGCAAGCGTCTGGAACCCATACAAAATAAAGGATATCGAATCAACTATCCTACAGCGACCGTCTCAAGAATCTCGGACTCCCGACATTGGCATACCGTAGATTGAGGGGAGATATGATAAACGTTTTCAAAATTATGGATAAATTTCACGATGAAAAAGTCACCAAAGGCATGTTTGATCGAGACGAAAATTCTAAAACAAGAGGCCACTCAAAGAAACTGAAAAAGAAATCATGTAATCTGGACATTCGGAAATACTCATTTGGACTAAGAACTATGGACCTATGGAACAGTCTACCAGAAAAGTAATCCAATCATCAACAATCAGACTTTGAAATTAATTTGGACAATCATTGGAAAAATCTCGAACTGAAATTTAACCATCTGGCTCGTTGCAATTCACTAATCGGAAGTAACTATATAATTTAATTGTATGATTATTATTGATATGGATATAGAGGCACTGTGTGTCTGCGTCCGTTAAATATCCTAATATATCCTAATAAAAAGAAATCCTTGGTTTCCGGATCGGATCATGAACCTCTTTTCACCAATAATTGGACAGGCTTTCATTATAGTTTTTTGCCAAAAAGGGATTGGACAGCATATTGAGGCGCAGTTTTCATCTCTGTTGCGAACTATACTGTTACTGTATAAATTCAATTCAATAAGGATTTGGTAATTTCTATTAAGGAGAGCGCAGTCAATCTGAGTTCCAATGAAAAATGAGAGAGAGAGAGAGAGAGAGAGAGAGAGAGAGAGAGAGAGAGAGAGAGAGAGAGAGAGAGAGAGAGATGTCAAATGAAGTAAGAAACGAGTAGATATGAGTATAGTGCAACTACCAGTTATATAATATAAACTTCATTTATTTTACAATAACTGTAAAACAAGCTTTGAGCTTATGTTTATCACTCTTGTTGGCCCGGATGGAAGCACACAAGGAGTTGTGGGAGGAACAGAGGTACGAGGGAAAGCCCACGTGGTCGGGAAGGTGACCCCTGACCTTTTCACGTCCGTTCCAGGGAATCGAAACCCAGCAGCCTAGTTAAAAACCGAATTTGTTACCACTGCGCCACCAAAGAACATAAGCTTTCAGTTGGCATTCAATAGTTACTGAACGTAGGCAAATTTATCACGAACGTACTTCACTGAATTTGCCTTTGTCCATATCGCATTCAAAGGCCCTTGAATGTCAACTGAAAGCTGTTCAATACTTATATATAAATATTCAGTAGTAATGTATAGGCATGGGTTAGAATGATTTCTTTATAAATTAGATAGATATTCAAAATACTTGGCAAGCAGTGGGGTAACATCTATGGTGTACATGACAATGCATACAAATACAAATATCTTACAATACGTAAATGTATTTTATAACAGTTAGCATTATTAATCAACACAGACAAAAATTCTCGTCACGTTTTTTATATAGCCTTCACAATAATTGTCAAAATAGCTGATGTATCTTTTAAATGCTTTGGTTGAATAGACGTGAAATATTCTGACCATCTGATCGACTATCCGTGTACAATAAACAATTAATGAAATCAATTTCTGTTATAGTTTTAACCGGATTCACATGAAATCATGTGATCTTAAACTTTTAAGCCGTTATCTGCCACCCGTCTCCATTATCCATTAGCCGTCTTCTGTCATCAATTAACCGTTCTTCGTCATCCGTTAACCGTCCTTCGTCATCCATTAACCGTCCTTCGTCATCCGTTAACCGTCCTTCGTCATCCGTTAACCGTCCTTCGTCATCCATTAACCGTTCTTCGTCATCCGTTAACCGTCCTTCGTCATCCGTTAACCGTCCTTCGTAATCCATTAACCGTTCTTTGTCATCCGTTAACCGTCCTTCGTCATCAATTAACCGTTCTTCGTCATCCGTTAACCGTTCTTCGTCATCCGTTAAACGTTCTTCGTCATCCGTTAACCGTCCTTCGTCATCAATTAACCGTCCTTCGTCATCCGTTAACCGTCCTTCGCATCCGTTAACCGTCCATCGTCATCCGTTAACCGTCCTTCGTCATCCATTAACCGTCCTTCGTCATCCGTTAACCGTCCTTCGTCATCCGTTAACCGTCCTTCGTCATCCGTTAACCGTCCATCGTCATCCTTTAACCGTCCTTCGTCATCCGTTTACCGTCCTTCGTCATCCATTAACCGTCCTCCGTCATCTGGATCGCAATGTAAATATATACATGGATACGAATTATGTGGATAAACATTGCGATCCAGGTATTCATGTCACGCAATTATACAATTTGCCACTATGATGATGTCATGAAAATTCCAGCTGCCTCTCACTACAACTTCCAAACGTCCGTTTTGGAGATGTCGTGGTGGTGTGGTCACGGGCAGGATGTGATCCTTAAACACACGACAAGACACGGGTAACCAATCAACACATGGCTAGACATCGAGGAACCAATCAAAACACTCCCAGATATCGGGTAACCAATCCACACACGGCCAGAGATGGAGTAACCCTTCTACACACTGCTATAATAGAGTAACCCATCAACACACAGTCAGTGGAACAAGCAATCAACACAGGGCCACAGACATATAGTAACCCACCAACACACGGCTACAGACATATAGTAACCCACCAACACACGGCCAATGACATGTAGTTACCCATCAACACACGGTTACAGACATATAGTAACCCACCAACACACGGCTACAGACATATAGTAACCCACCAACACACGGCCAATGACATGTAGTTACCCATCAACACACAGCCACAGATATATAGTAACCCATCAACACACGGCCACAGACATGTAGTAACCAACCAACACACGGCCACAGAAAATAGTAACCAATCAACACACAGCCACAGACATACATGACCAACCAACACACGGCCACAGAAAATAGTAACCCACCAACACACGGCCACAGACATACATGACCAACCAACACACAGCCACAGACATATAGTAAACCATCAACACACGGTCACAGACATATAGTAACCCACCAACACACGGCCAATGACATGTAGTTACCCATCAACACAAGGTCACATACATATAGTAACCCACCAACACACGGCCAAAGACATATAGTAGCCCACCAACACACGGCCACAGACATATAGTAGCCCATCAACACACAGCCACAGATATATAGTAACCCATCAACACACGGCTACAGACATGTAGTAACCAACCAACACACGGCCACAGAAAATAGTAACCCATCAACACAAGGCCACAGACATATAGTAACCCACCAACACACGGCCACAGACATATAGTAACCCACCAACACACGGCCAATGACATGTAGTTACCCATCAACACACGGCCAGAGACATATAGTAGCCCATCAACACACGGCCACAGACATGTAGTTACCAACCAACACACGGCCACAGACATATAGTAGCCCAACAACACACGGCCACAGACATGTAGTAACCAACCAACACACGGCCAATGACATGTAGTTACCCATCAACACAAGGTCACATACATATAGTAACCCACCAACACACGGCCAATGACATGTAGTAGCCCACCAACACACGGCCACAGACATGTAGTAACCAACCAACACACGGCCAATGACATGTAGTTACCCATCAACACAAGGTCACATACATATAGTAGCCCACCAACACACGGCCACAGACATATAGTAGCCCATCAACACACGGCCACAGACATGTAGTAACCAACCAACACACGGCCACAGATATATAGTAACCCATCAACACACGGCCACTGACATACATGACCAACCAACACACGGCCACAGATATATAGTAACCCATTAACACACGGCCACAGACATGTAGTAACCCATCAACACACGGCCACAGACATAAAGTAGCCCATTAACACACGGCCACAGACATGAAGTAACCCATCAACACACGGCCACAGACATACAGTAACCCATCAACACACGGCCACAGACATATAGTAACCCATCAACACACGGCCACAGACATATAGTAGCCCATTAACACACGGCCACAGACATAAAGTAACCCATCAACACACGGCCACAGACATATAGTAACCCACCAACACACGGCCACAGACATACAGTAACCCATCAACACACGGCCACAGACATATAGTAGCCCATCAACACACGGCCACAGACATATAGTAACACAGCTAATCTTGTCCTGTTCACAAGCCTCGTCAATCCAGTCACCACTAATCTTGTCGTGTTACCAAACCTCGTTAATCCAGCCGCCATTAATCTTGTCCTGTTTTCGACCCTCGTCAATCCAGTTTCCTCTAATCTTGTCCTGGTTTAGAGCCTTGTCAATCCAGCCACCACTAATCTTGTTGTCCTGTTTACGAGCCTCGTCCATCCATTCACCACAAATCTTGCCCTGTTCTCAAGCCTTGCCAATCCAGTCACCACAAATCTTGTCCTGTTCTCAAGCCTTGCCAATCCAGTCACCACAAATCTTGTCCTGTTCTCAAGCCTTGTCAATCCAGTCACCACTAATCTTGTCCTGTTTTCGAGCCTTGCCAATCCAGTCACCACAAATCTTGTCCTGTTCTCAAGCCTTGTCAATCCAGTCACCACAAATCTTGTCCTGTTCTCAAGCCTTGTCAATCCACTAATCTTGTCCTGTTCTCAAGCCTTGTCAATCCAGTCACCACTAATCTTGTCCTGTTCTCAAGCATTGCTAATCCAGTCACCACAAATCTTGTCCTGTTTTCGAGCCTTGTTAATCCAGTCACCACTAATCTTGTCCTGTTTTCGAGCCTTGTCAATCCAGTCACCACAAATCTTGTCCTGTTCTCAAGCCTTGTCAATCCACTAATCTTGTCCTGTTCTCAAGCCTTGTCAATCCAGTCACCACTAATCTTGTCCTGTTCTCCAGCATTGCTAATCCAGTCACCACAAATCTTGTCCTGTTTTCGAGCCTCGCCAATCCAGTCACCACTAATCTTGTCCTGTTTTCGAGCCTTGTCAATCCAGTCACCACTAATCTTGTCCTGTTTTCGAGCCTCGCCAGTCCAGTCACCACTAATCTTGTCCTGTTCTCAAGCCTTGTCAATCCAGTCACCACAAATCTTGTCCTGTTCTCAAGCCTTGTCAATCCAGTGACCACAAATCTTGTCCTGTTCTGAAGCCTTGTCAATCCAGTCACCACAAATCTTGTCCTGTTCTCAAGCATTGCTAATCCAGTCACCACAAATCTTGTCCTGTTCTCAAGCCTTGTCAATCCAGTCACCACAAATCTTGTCCTGTTCTCAAGCCTTGTCAATCCAGTCACCACTAATCTTGTCCTGTTCCCGAGCCTTGTCAATCCAGTCACCACTAATATTGTCCTGTTTTCGAGCCTTGTCAATCCAGTCACCACTAATCTTGTTCTGTTTTCGAGCCTTGTCAATCCAGTCACCACAAATCTTGTCCTGTTCTCAAGCCTTGTCAATCCAGTTACCACTAATTTTGTCCTGTTCTCAAGCCTTGTCAAATGGTGGCTAGAACCCCGTCTACCAATAACAAACATATACCCGCTAACAAGCTAAACCTATTTTCCAATTTCCTACTTTCCCATACGCTCTCTTCCGCTATCTTCTAAACCTCTTGTCCTTCGGAAGGGACGTTCAACGGGGGTCCGGTGTACAGTGAGTCACGCCGTGCACGCTAAAGAACCTCTGCTGGTTTTTTTCGAAAAAGAGAAGGCTAATTGCTAGCCGCCACAGAGCATAGGTTTATAATAGGGAAATATAGAGTTAGACTAGAGTAGGAATAGGTGTTTCAGTGACAGTCCAACACCCCCCTTATTTAGACGTTAGGGTATAGAAATAGCCGGATCTGTCCTCCCCACATTAGACCTGTTTGACGATGACTAAAAAGCGAAATTGCATACCTTTACGCCTCGTCCCTCCCAGCCCCCTCCCCCTTAGTGTCCTAGGCTCGGTTATAACCGGAACAAGGACGTTAAGCTCAAAAAAAAGAAAAGACAGCTCTGGTGTCTTATGTTCCTATCGGCCGCCGGGTGGCGACCATAGAAGGTATGAGTAGCAGTATAGCACGCATGCAATATAACAGAGGACTGATAGGGTTTACTGGTGATAGGCCTGAAAGACTGCCTCATCCGATGTAATTAAAGTTGCCTTAGTGAGATAGTCGCGATATGGTTCCTGTGAATTGGTTCGTTTGGCCTTGTTCGAACTACGTGTAGATTAGTTCGAGGCGACAGTGAGATTAGTTGCTCAACCCAATAGTTTGCTTGGCTTAGTTCAAACTAAAGAAGTCCCTTCATGTAACTCGGTTTGGTTTGCACTGAGTACCAGTGCAGTTATAAACCATAAGAGTAGGAAACCCCGAGTAACCGGAGTAATTGCTTTCATAACGCTAAATAAGCGTATACAGGATCAGAGTTCATTCATTGGTGATTTTTAGTCCCCTTAACCTGTACATAGTGTAATCCGTTTGTATATAGTGTGTTCCATTCATATGCATATCTGTATATATTTTGCTTCGTCAGTAGTCCCTCAATTCGTCAAGCTGATTCAAATAGATCCACAGCAAGGTAATCTGAGGCTTGCTAAAGTTTCTGACCCTCATAACAAATAGTTGATAGGGTTGCACGTTACAATACTAAGACGGTGTGCAACCCTATGGTACCGTATTAAAATCACTGATACATAACTAAACTGCGCACGCCGCTTGTACAAAAGAATAAGAGACAAAAGCACGATATCTCGAACCCAGTATAAAGGATTGGTTCAAACTCTGTGTGTGCGAATCTTCAGACATGTCCGTCTTGATTTCCCACATTTTAAGCATAAACAGTTCACCGTACAAATGCCACTACTGTCCGAAGTTGACAGGGGTCATCCATTGCACTTCTTATGCAAGGTACCACGCAAAATAAGGTCGCTAATCAATTTGGAGTCCATCCATCGAACATTTGCCGTCTCATCCAAAGACTACATGCCACCGGAAGGGTTGCAGACCGTCTCTGAAGCGGTCGCCTTCGTGTGATGACGCGTCGGCAGGATACGGCAATGCGACTTTCGCACCTTCGCAATCGCTTTCTGACTGCCACGGAAACAGCAAAGATCAAAATTGGGCGTCATCATGTTCCAATTGATCCAAGACAGTGCGTACTCGACTGCGTGCCTTTGGTTTAAGACCGCGGCGGCCATATGTTGGACCATAGCTTAATACGCGACGACGTGCCAGACGAATGCAATGGCTGAACGCACATTCCGTAAGACGCTTCCCAATGCAACGTTGGAGAAGGGTCCTGTTCTCAGATGAGTCCAGGTTTTCGTTTTACCGGGCAGACGTACCCACGAGCGGGGGGTGGGGGGATGGGCATACGATGTTGATGGGTCCAGAACGCACTTCATTTTGAGTGAGGTACTTTTGAATCATAGTCAAATTTGAAAGGTTAACTTAACATACACGAATGAAATTCTCGTAGATGATAGAGTGGTGAACTACCTTCCAGTTCAGGGTGGTCGGGTGGCGCAGTGTTAACGCACTCGCCTTTCACCTAGCCGACCGGGGTTCGATACGTGAAAAGGTAAGGGGTCACCTGCCCGACCACGTGGGTTTTCCCCGGGTACTCCGGTTTCCTCCCACAATAAGACCCCTCGCGCGCTTACATCCGGGCCAACAAGAGTGATTATTATAAGTTGACATAACTTGTTTCGCAATTGTTGTAAAATAAATAAAGTTTACATTACCTTCCAGTTACACCATAATTACATTGTAAAACCCTTTTCGAGTTGCCCTGGAAATTCCTAATTGCGTTTCTTTTTCCTCTCAGTATATTAATGTACATGTATTCAAAATCATTTGATATGGACTGTTATTTGTGTGATCATTTAACTAATATCGCCGTCGTAATAAATACGTTATCGTGACTACACATAATTGATTACAGTCAGGGAGACGGTTTGTCTATTTTGAGTGATTTTATTAATGCATCAAGATACATAGTAAAACAATAATTTCACATTACAGCGTTTTGTTTGCCTTTTTTTTTATAAATCGTACAAGAAAAACATTGTTCGCTGTTTTGAATAAAAGTATTGAATGGCAACTCAACATGAGGATTTTTAGGCATCTAACCAAACCTAGTAGTGTTTCGTTTGTGTAAACTCGCACGTGTTAACTACTGATGTTTGATTCATGCGTTTTCCTGGGTAACCGACTTTCGTTTATGTATTGTAGATCGATGGCAATAAATTGAAAACAGGCCTCCATTAGTCGTTAGACATCTGGTCCGTTAATTTAGTCAGACAGTGGTGAATCGAAAAAATGAAATAACTCTCTCACTGTAGTGAACTACGGTTGTTGTCTGTTCCGGAATCTCCGTCTTTTCTATTTGTTTATTAGTCCCGCCGTCAAGTAGTCGCGTGAAAGTTCTATATATCTTACACAAAGTGTTAATAAAACATTTGTATGACAAAGATGTAATAACGGGGTTATGTGACAGTATTCATAGAATTCTTATCTGTATGCGTACCACATTTCATCCAAATCAGACCAAATCTGAAGTGATTTATTTAAAAATGTATTAAAAAAGACATTCCCGTAGTTTAAAAATGTCTGACTTTAGGTGTGTCATATTGACATATATGTCATCAATTTACATGTCACTTGATCAAAAAGATTAACCAATCAATGAGCTTTATTGGGTATGAAAATGTCAATATCAGGTAAAGCTACCACGACTTAAGTGCCCTTCATCTCATACCATTGACCAGACAACGAAGCTTTGGACATTGTACATAATCAATTTGATGGTCCCTAACTTATGGCTATATAAACGTTTGTAGTATAACAAGAGGAGGTCCATTGGGCCTTAACGATTCCAACATCTACGTGTCATTTCTCTTGAAAGTCCAATTTCCTTCAAACCTAAACTTGACATGCCCATGAATAACCTGTATTTGACACTCGGAGTATTGGTAAAGGACGAAGTGTTTTGTGCGACTTTAGAAATGATGTTTCAAATCCATATGGTTATATAAAACCTTGACAGTTATAGAGAACATTTACGTTATTTTGCAATTCTAGGTCTTGTTGAACTTTGACCTCTGATCTTCAATCTTGGCCCACAATATTTTTGTGTCATTCGCTACAACTTTTAAACCCATATGTCTATACAAAAGTGTGAAAAATTTGGAGACAAAAATGGCAGTTTTACATCCTCTATTCTCTGACATTTGACCCAGTAATAATAAAATTACTAGGCGAACAAAATCTGTGCATCCTTTCATAAACTTTTAAAATGGATATGCCTTAAACATGACAGTTTTCAAACGAATTTTGCACTTTATTGCTATTAGAGTATTTTGACTCTGTCCAAATATTGCCCCTCCACTGGAT